TATATATATATATATATATATATATATATATATATATATATATATTGGAGGTACATCAACAAAAACGCACGTACGTGTGTGTATACGCGTATACGCAAATTTATAATGTGTAATAAATGTATATGAGATGCGTGTGTAATCAATAAAGTGTTGGTATACATGGTTAACAATATGCTGCCTAAACATGTTGCTTTCGCAGATGGCTGATTTCTGAGAGACACAGCGGTACGTTCTTTTCTATGATACGTAGTCATGAAACAACGTCCCTAAATGGGATTAGTAACAAACAATATTCAAATAACAAAATTATTTTGATCTTTGGTTTTCCACCGCTGCGCTTAGTATTTAACGAGAGTTACGTCAGAAACAAGGCACTCGCTGCGAGACGAAATTTTAAAATTGATGAAAATCTATAAATCTTTCAGATCTCAGACAAATAAATTAACCTACCAGAGTTAGTAAAAGACATCATGTTTTAGTATTAGAAGAAGTTATTTAATATGTTATAAAGTACATTAGACAACATGTTAACTCTCTCTCTCTTTTACAGTATTTAGTTTTATTCATGATTTCTTCTCGATTGTAGTTGATAATCGAGCGAGTCTCTCTATACAACCGTTACCAAAATTTTTATAAAGAATATATGACCTCATTTCTGAAACAACTCTCATATCTCGACATGATAGACTTTATCGAGAACGTCAGCGTGATACCTAACGTGTATCGCTCGAGGGTGGTCCGAAAACAACTCTGCATCTCGACACGGCTCCAAGAACTGGCTTCACGAGTATCAAAAAACCTGCGATAAACCATGAGGCAAAGACCAGATTTCTACCCGTGACAGATCCAGGCCACCAAAAAGAGTAAGTTCCATTGATAAGAGTGGCCAATAGAAGAATGATTACCACGCTGCCGCCGCAAGCGTGAGCGATCTTTATGAATATTGGTCTCAGGTGCGGGTACAGCCACGAGGTGTTTTTCGCCAGGATCCCGAAACTCGCAGTCAAGACGGATATTATAATTGTTGCTAGGCCCAATTGTGAATGAGTCGATACGAAATGATGGTTATTGTGATTGATCTTGTTGACGACGATGATAATCAGGCCGATCCCGATTATGGCCAGGCCTGTCGCATGTAGAATCCAGTGTATCGTCACCCTGTCACGCCTGGGTAACTTCGACGAGATATACGCCTCGCCGGAGACACTGAAGACAGCTTCCGTGATTAGAAGACCGACCTTCGTCACGAGATAAAGAAATTGATATATTATCAAATAGAATGTTGCGAATAAGAAATAATAAAAGAGATAATTTAATAGTTAAGACTCGAAACTACTCGTTTTATCAGTAAACAAAACTGGAGTAAACAGATAACAGATTGTTGTAATAGTGATTATAAAAATGTTGTAAATATTATCATCCTTAGGTTGATATAACAGTGTAAATATTATCATTCCTAAGTTGGTATTTATATTACGCGTTTTAGAAAAATAACATTAGAAAAGTGAGAATTTAATTATAGCAACTTGTCTGTAATCCAAACATTAGAAAAAACGATCTTTCTCACGAGAAAAAGAAATTGGTATATTATCAAATAGAACGTTGCGACGAGAAATAATTAAGGAGCTGATTTTGTAATAGCTAAAATTCGAAACGATCTCGTTTTATCGGTAGACAAAACTGGAATAACAGAATGATGTAATAGTGATTATAACAGTGTTGTAATTATTATCATCCCTAGGTTGATATAACAGTGTCGTAAATATTATCATCCCTAAGTTGATATTTACGCGTTTTAGAAAAATAAGAATGAGAAATTAGAAAAGTGAGAATTTAATTCTAGTAACTTATCTGTAATCCAAACATCTGTGTGGAACCGAGAACTTTTATGAAAAAAGAGTTATATGCATGCTCGGCTTATTTCGTCTGTTTGATGCTTTGCTTACCCCGACAGACATGCAAATCGGATGCCAAGAAAAAAAACTGTAGTGGCGAAAAGCGAGTACCAAGATGTATATCACAGGAGCCACGAGGAGAAAATGCGTCAATACTGAGCAAGCGAGCGTTATGACACCCGGGGTTCCTTTGCCGCTTGATACCTCGGTAGCCATGTCGAGAAGAAAACGAGAAAGTCTCTTTGGTACCTGAGAAAAGAAAGAGGATTCTGCTCATAAACAATATCGAGTGAAACAAGATCCTGGATATCGCATAGGAAAATTTCTCACGAAAAAGAAAATAAAAAGGTAGTAACTCGTTGAAAAATTAAAATTGAATAGATATGCGTAATAAGTGAAATTAGATTTTTGGATGATTTTTTGATATCTAAGATTCGGAAAAATAATATCATCAAAGGTGTTGGTTTAGAAAGAAAAATGTGAGCTTAATACTACTCATGAGCGTAAAGCTCTACGTAGGTTGCATGTATCTTTTTATGTAATTCCTCGTAATTACTGCGTGGCTTCAGATGCATGACGCGTGATTCATCTTTAATTGTGAGGCACGATTTCTCACGTCTTCTAGCATGCACTTATCTTCTTTTGTTCTCTTTAATTTGTCTGACCGATCTTCATATTATATAAATTGCTACATATCAGAGACACATGAGAGACAGAAAGTACTTAACTATATATATATTCATAGATGATAACGAATCTCTTTATCGATCGTACGTGACAAGATAACGTAACTAATTCCGGAGCTAATAGGCTTACGATTTATAAAGTTAATGAGAATATCGTGCAGTCGTTTATCGTGCAATTTTAGTTAATATATTATAATACGATTTTAAAATAATAGGATTTATTGTGACAGTTCGCACGATTTTTAAGGCATTTGCAATTGACAAATAAAAAATCAAGATAACGGAAAAAACTGTATAGAGGCTGTTATAGAGAATATTGTTGTCAGATAAAAATAAGTGATGAGCGAAACGATCGGTACTAGTTAAGCAAGATCATGACACTAGTTAAGCAATAAAAATCAAGTCTTCGGAACGGTGCATTTTGCTAACAAGCTCAGTAATCGCCGATAAAAAGCGTACGGTGAGTAACAACAACGACGCAAAAACTGTGCGACACTATCTATGTCGCTAATCGCGGAATGCGATATGCACCTGCAGTGTCCCTGCATTCCATCTGTTACGCAAATATTGAAATTAAGACGATAATTGAAAGCAGAGATCCACGGACTCGTAAAGTTCTTTCTTGAGTGTCGAAGAGCGGTGAATTAAAATTTTGCATCTTTACGCAAAATAGCATATGAGGTTGACAAAAGAGCTTGTTTATTCTGTTAATTAAAAAAACATTTCACAAAGAAAAGAAATTATCGTTTGTTTACAGAACTGGTTTACGGCATTTTTACCACCTATTTTTGTTGGAAATAAACAGAATTTAATTGTGTGAAAAATACGAAGAATTTTCCTTTTATTTCAATAAAATTGCAATTTAAATTAAAACTTTATGCGTTATTTTCTAGGGCATAGCTGTGAGACTCATGGATTCTTTTTACCATCGTTTTGATTTCATATCGGCAATAACGTTTCGTTTTCAATAATTAAAACGACGAAATTAAAAAAAAATATATATATATAAAGAAAGAGAGAGACAAAGACAGCGATATTAAATTATGTCGATAAATACTGCTTATGACGACTTATATTATTTTCTGATTTACACCGTGTTACCTTGCCCACTATCGTAAGCCGCAAAGTGACATACTTTCCAAATGTTTGCATTTTCTGAATCATAGTATTCTACCTGCCACAATACTCGACGAAGTTGTAATATTTTTGAATAAAAACGTACATTTTAAATTAAGCAATACATTATAACTGCACCATGGACGACAAGCCTATTATTATTATTTTTTTAAACAAATAACAACTGGTCAAACCAAGTGTACACAAGTAATTTCTGTAAAATGGAATTGAAATTGAAAAATGTTCAGAATGCCTGCGTATACTTTATCTTTAAAACACGTTTCAATTTAATTATAATATTATTATTTACCATAATTCTCGGAATGAAACAGAAGACGCTTTTGCACTATCAGTATTCTTATGAAGAGATAGTCACACGAATGTATTCTTCAACTCACCGCGACCACTGCTCGACTGCTACACTGTGAAGTTCTCACTGGCCTTAAAGATAAACAACGTCGAAAAAAGGATTAAAAAAAAGATGCAAGTGGCACACACTCTCTCACCTTTTTATCTATAAAAATGACCCGAGCACAAGCGCGCGACCGTGTTCGTGACGCGACTGAGCGGCAGGAATATGGCGATCTAGGTTGTGGATCCGTCGATCATTATCGTAGCGTCGGTGGCCGATGAGGAAACAGTGTTCGCGGTCGGCCTTGTAATATCGGACTCAGTGTTGCCAGATCACTGCAATCAAATTTCTTCACGAGAATCACAATTCTTCTAGTTCCTTCAAATAAAAACAAGATGGAAAAATTTCCTAAAATTCACTCCAAAACCTGTCATTAAATCAAATTTTATGACAAAATAACGAATCATGAATGAAACTTACTATCTTTTTACAATTATTATTTATTGCTACGACAGCAGAGTGCAATTGCATATAAATTATCAAACAAATTTAACAGATTCTCCCATAAAATTGAAGTTGAATGAGACGTTTCAGAAGTAACGCGAAGAATTTCCCAAGTTGCGGAAACACATAAGAATAGGAGATAAGTAATGAGGAAAAAAATAAATGACAATGAACACAGAGAGAATCATATTACACGTAAACTATGTAAAGATGCGATAAGTAAAAGTGAAAATCGTGGAAAAGTTTATCGAGAGTCGAGGGCCTGCAAGGGAGTCAATCCGACACTGCGGCCTTGGTGCGAGCGAGCACAACATACGCGCGCGTTCCGAACACTTAAGTGCTCATAAGACGCAAGTATGCACGCTCCATAAACCCAAGGAGGCATCCGCATAATGCAGTCAAAGAAACTAAAGGAAAACCTACGCGGGAAACGCTTTACATAACTTATCAATAATTCTGACGCATCTTTAGTTACTCCTTTCAGAGAATTTCGTTCCTCCTGCAATCTTTGCGCGCGGTTTAAAAACCTCTTACGTATAAAAGAGAACAAAAATATTAGTTTTGCTAGTCACGTTAATGTTATTAACTCATTTACTATTGAGATGTGACCGTATAAATATATAATTTATTCACGTACTCAGTGATGTACATATGTTTTTTTTTTTTTATTACTGTCGAAGTTGTAGGCGAGATAGTTGATTAGAAGAGCATGTGTTTGCCTGATAACACATTATTCCGCTCACAAAACGGAGTAAGATAAAAAGTTTGAATGCCGGGACTTTAATAACATTCGTATCTAGTATTAATTTTGTTGGTTTTTTTTAAGAATACTTAAATTTTCAATATAATATAATTTTTGTAGAATATACTCAAGTAACAGGATGACGTCTAAAGACGTATTAAAAATCTATTATTGACATCAGAGACGTCATTAAAAAGTTATTAATAGACTACTTAATTGCTACCGGGGATATGTTCAATATATGCATATATATACTATATTCTATCCTGAAAGTTTAAATATTTGTATTTAAGAACTAAAACACACCCAACATAATAAGAGTGTCCAGAATTGGATACAGTGTTATTAGTAATCAGATATTGGTACTTTTATCTTATATTTTCGCGTATGAGTCACTTAAATAAGTCTTGCTTCTAATTTGCAATTTATAAATAACGGAAAAAAACAGAAATTACAACGACAGGCGCGAAATAGACGCTAATACAGATATACATTGTATATATTTTTGCTAAAAAAAGATGTTGGTTAATTAATTATTCTGATATCGGCTAAAGAATCTGGCTAAGCATTAGCATGACTAGAACAATGATGTTTATTACTTTTCCTTTAATTAACAAACAGTGCTTTATTTAATTAACAAATATATTTTCGTGGATTTAATACATACACTAAGAAAAAATTTATTAAATTTCAAAAAATGTTGGGTTGCATAATACTGCGAAGATATTTGTTTAAATTAAATAATTATTTTTTAAAATTAAAAAACCAAATTTATATTTAAAACTTCTTTATTTAATTTTAGAAAACAATTACTTAATTTAAACAAATATCTTCACAGTACTATTTAAACAAACGTTTTTTGAAATTTAGCAAATTTTTTTCTCAGTGTATGCAGTTTTTGTCTAAATTAGCCAATAAATGTCGATACTTTTTAAATCCGCCTCATTTTGACTACCAAGCGCGAAATATTCTTGCTACGGCACTACGATTATAATCCCCTTGTGAGTGAGAGAAATTTAAACAAATGATACGCTTTTTCTGATTTGTCATACAACGATTAGAAAGCAATTTGACAGATGCGAGCAACGTCACGCGCACGTGCAACGATGCATGATGCAGCGGTAGCGACAGCTGTTGTGTGTTGATCGCCGGTCGTCGTGACGACCCGGCTGAGCAACACCTCCTGGCGGACCTCTTCACGCCGCTTTTCATGGAACCATCGAGCACGTACACGGTGCTCGCGATTTTGCACGTCGGGGAAAGCTGCCCGTCCGGGGCACACGAGTGGCGAAATGGTGGTCGCCGATAAACGCAGATATCTGATAGTTTCCACGGCGGGGCACTTTTTCAGCACGTCTGTACGACACGACGAGGAGGACGTTGAAGGTCGTGAAATCCTCGATCGTTTCTTGGAGCAGTCATCATGCAGGACTCTGTGCGCCAGGCCGATCGACGAGGATCAGGACCAAGTCCGTTTGAAATTGAGCACGGAACTGACCGCTGGCAAGAACACGCTGGTCTTCTTCAAGGTATATCACGAAATTTCCCTTCGCTGAAGAAAATCTGCGCCAACAGCGAAGATGGACGAGTGCAGGGAGGACAGACACGTGTCTGCGACATTGACATGTATAGAAATGTTTCCCTGTACGTCTCTCTTTGTTGACGCTAATCGTTCTTATGAACTGTAATGGTTGGTACAGGAGAGCGTAAGACTCCTGCTTGCGCGACGATAGAAAGTATCCTCTAGAAAGCCACCATGCAAATTCCCAAATTGCCGTTTATATTTACTGATGCTGCGAAAAACGCAGGTGACAGCGGCGGCGGTCACCGAGGAAAACTTTCACGATGTGGTCCAAGTGGCTTCGATTGGCTGCGGGGACGGATCGGTGCTGATCGAAGGTCTTCGTCAAGTATGGGCACCGACCCTTCGCTCATCCGGCTTAAGTGCATCATACTTGAAAAAGTTGGAGGAGAAACTACTCAGCTCCGGATTCTCGACCACCGTTGTGGAGGAAGAGGAATTCTGGTTAAGAAAACGGGACGAGGTGAAACGGTCGCACGAGAAAACGGTGTGCGAGGAAGCCGCTAAGTCCGTGAAAAATATCAGGATCGAACTCGAGAGCGCTGCAGTGTCGAGGTAAATTTGTTTTGAATTTGGTGAATTTGTATCTTGACGTTGAAATACGATTGTCTTCATTTCTTACGCTATATCATTATTACTTCTCGCACAGAGATGGGTTGTTCGCTGTGGAAGAGGCTTGCGAGGCCATTTCTGTCTTCGTCGACGATCTATGGAAATTAGGAGAACCGGCGTACACCGAGGAACGAATGAAGTCGCTCCTCGATGTAATCGGTAATGAGGTGGTCGAGTTGGTGCAGAATTATCTCGATGCAGTACGTAAGCTATAATAATTTCAACTACATATATAAAGCAGAATGTTTGTCTGTCTGTTCTCTACATACTCCTAAACTTATTGATTGATTTGGACCATATTTTGCATATTGTTATTCAGGTCGACGCAACCGACGCTCGTGCAAAGGACGAAACGATCGTATTCGGAGCAACGGTGTGCGAGAAATGGATAAACGCCACACAGAAATTGACGGAGCTCTTCTGGCCGCATCATTCGCTTCATCCCTGGCGTGGGCCGATTTTCGTGCCCGGAAGATGTTCAAAGCTTGGCAAAAGACTCAGGTAGAGATGATGCGTACGAGAATCCCTGGGAATAATTAATAATTAATAGACGTGTCCGCGGTTCTCAGGCAAATTTCCGAGTTGCGCGCACAGCATCGCCAATTGAGCAGACTCCTGACGTCGAGCGAAAGATCCGGACTCGGTATCGAGAAACTGCTGCAGGCCTTCGACGACACAAAAGGTACTTATCTCTGTTTCCTACAGACATCCCTAGAGAAATCTTCTTTAAAGGTCCCATACTGATTTCCTAAAGAGCGACCGGTAAGATGTCGGTCTTCAGAAATTCAAAATGATAAAAGCAAAAATCGAGACTTAAAAAATTTTCAATTAGTTTGCATTAGTGGTATTTTAAATAAGAGTCATAACGAGAGTTTATGATTGCGATTTAGTTATGCTGAGCGACGATGAGCGCGACGACGAATGGGACCGGCTGAAACTAAAGATCGAGGAAGGCTTGGTACCGGCCGAGGAACGTGTCGCTCAGAAGCTGAAGGCTCACATCGCCGACGCCGACACTCCAAGTTCCTTAGTAGCTGAATTCGAGAGATATAGTGAGCTGATGAAGAGGGAAGGCCTCAAGAGGGCTTTACGTGGAGAACGAGAATCGCTGCTGTCGGCATATCGCGATCTAATCGGTAGAACGCACTCAGACTTCAAAACATATTCGACATTTGCATTTATTATCTCAAGTATTATGTTCAAGTTGTGAGAAAACACGCGCTGATCATTTTTGCAATTTTCACTGGATTGTTCGTGTTCTAATTATTGGCATTATTAATTATGTTTCACATATTCTCTGTAGATGTTGAGGCCGTGAATCAGTATAGTTTCAATTACTTTGAATTGACCAAATTTCAGAGAGTCGCTCGGCTGGTCCCGATACGGAATATCTCCTGGATGTTCCTAAAGTGCTACAAGAGGTTCAAGCCGCTCGATCGGCGGAAGCACGACTAGAGAGCCTGGCTAAATTAGGAAAAGAGTTGCTCGCTGATCTCCCAGGCTATGAAGATGTGGCGGCGCAGTTATCCAGTACATTAAAAGACGTCGAAGAGAAAAAACGAGACTTGGTTGAATCATGGGTAATTTTTATTTAACTAGCCACTTTTATTTTCAATACGATATTATATTAATCTTCCTAAAATCCTAAATAACTCGAAGTTTTCAACAAAGAATCCTTAATATACAGTGGTAGACAGATTGTTGTTCGAAAATTTTTAGATACTGTCAGTATATTATAGACACAGTTTACAGTTTACAACAGATAATTATCTACGCCGTGACTAACTTGTTAATCTTAAATTTTGGTAATTTTGGTAATTAATTAATATTTTATACCTTTATTTATGCAGGTGAACAATACCAAGAACGATATAGCCAGAAAAGAATTAAGCCTGGGCACCGATTCGCCGGTGGTTGAACTCACCGGCACTAATATGATGAGAGTAACTTACGATCCCCGTCTGATGACCATGATCAGAGAAGCTAGAGCTTTATCTGGCGAGGGTGTCGAGCTGCCGAGAGAGATCAGAGAACTGGTGGACAGAGCAGCGTCTTTAGCTGGACGGGCTAGAGCTCTTCAGCAGGTCGCTACCTTCCACAATACGATCGGCGATCGAATGGTGCTTTCTCAGAGGCCGCTCATGTTAACGATAGCTCTTGAATTAGCGCGAGCTGTCCAAGAACAATCTGGTATCGTTTGGTCTGATCCTCATCTCGTCGACGTGTACACTACTCGATTGAAGGAGTTGGTAAGATTAAATATTTCTATTGTTTATTAAAGGAAATAATTGTAAGAGCTAATCTCAGACAGTATAAGCTTTTAAAAGATATCTTAGAGACGTCCAAATAACATCCTATTTTCTTTAGGTCTTCAAGCTTCTTTTAAAAGCTTGTCTGGAGTGAAAATACGGTATATTTACTCTGATGAGTGTTACAGGTGGTGAAGTTCGCTCGACAGAACTCAGAATTGATCTTGAAGCACTCCACATTACGGGATTATGTGTCAAACCTGTTGAAAGGCGATGCTGTGCATCTTGTCGGGAATCAGAACATCTGGAAGGAGACGTTAATGAGTATGAGAGCGATCGTCGACGTGGTGGATTCGGAATACGGTAACGCGAAGGCTTGGAAGCTGCACTGGGATCGGCAACTTCTAAAGGCGTTGGGTGTAGCGTACAGGTGTGATGATAAATTATTTTTATTATATAATGATATAAATATAATAATGATCATATGATAATAATTTTGGTAATAACATTTTCACCAGAAATCTTTTAAGTGACATATTTTCATTCTCGTGTGTTTTGTTCAGGAACGCTTTACCATCCTTGTCGAGGAAGCTGCCTGAACTTCGTGTGGAGCTCACTTTTCGTGATGGGTCTTTGCAATGGAGACCGCCGCTTGAGGATATTCGTGCAAAGTTATATTCGTCTATTCGCCGATCGCTATCCATTCCGATCAATTTCAGAGGCGTAGGAGACGTCAGCGACGCGCATTTCGGCGATCTGGTGCAGAAGAACGCGTATCTTTTCAGCGGCGTTTACAAACAGATTGAAATCGCTTTATCCACTCTTGAATCGTTCAGGATTAAGTGGCTGAACTTAGCGACGCCCGCCAATATTGATGTGGGAGAACGGTAAGTTAGACCTTGATATTTTTTATATTCCTACAAAGTTTGGAAAACTCACGTATCCTATCCGATCCTTGAAAAAACTAATGACAAATTAAACACAAACTTAATGAAAAATTTCTAGATTAAAAGGGAAACCTCCTCAAGAATGGGCGAGAACTTTTAAGGAAGCCAAGCAATGGGCTCAAGAGGTAAATTTCATTTTTAATTAGAAAATAAGTTGCACAATAAAAAGTGATACAGAGAAATTTACTATACTGATACTTGTTGATAGAATGTAAATTACGCGATGTATATTCTACGATTATATAAAACATTTTTCCACCTTTTACGGTATATATTAAGTAATTATATAATTATCGCTAAATTTTTTGTAACGTAGGTTGGAAAGTTGCGAGGCAGTGATGTAAAGATCCTGTGCATATGCGTGGACACCGCGACGACGAGAAACGATTTGGAAACGGCATCTCGTCATTATTGGGAACGCCTGTGCTCCGATTTAAGGGCCGAGGCGTCTTCGCGACTGGTGGCTATAGTGGATTTCCTTTCCTTCGCGTCCAAGGAGTTAGAACGTAGGCCACGGGACGTGGAAGAAGTCGGATTAGCTCATGAAGCTCACGCGCGTATCGAGCAACAATCGGCAGGCATTGCTGAGGAGATGGAAGCTGTTGCTGTGCTCGCCAAAGTTATGGCTGCGTGGACCAGCGAGAAGCTAGACGGTAGAGAGTTCAAGCATTTCATCTCATCGCCTAAATCTAAAATATCAGTCCTATTTCTTCTTTTTTCAGTATCTTGTAAATTGGAAATTAAAGATGCCAAAATTAATATCTTCATTTACTTGTTAAATTAACAAGTGAAATCCTTTTATGTCACAGGCGTTAACGCAGCTCACGTCGCCTGGCAGGATCTGGGTGATCGCTTGGAAAAGCACAAGGTTGTTATGGCACGTCTGTTGGAAGATGCTAAAGTGAACCTTCGTCATAAAGCAATAGCTTTGAGAGATGAAAGAGAAAGATGGCAGGCGAAGTGGTCTACAAGATCAGAAAACATGTCGCTCGAGTGGCTTCTATTGATGAAGGAACGCTGGATCAATCTAAACGAGCAAATGGATTCTTTGAAAGCGGATTGTAAAAGAATAACTCTGGACCTCGAAAATGTCCTGGAAGACGATGATATTAATCTGTCGCAATTAGAACGAGAATTGGAGGCCGAGGAGTCAAATTATAGGTTTCTATATTTTTAATAAAAGATTATTATTACGAATTAAATATGAAATTAAAAATATGTTTGACACAAACATTAAATTCTATAATAAATTTAACATAAATTAATAATAAATTTTAACATATTAAATTTTTATGTAAGTTAGATCTAAACAACTTATGGCATCAATATTTTTCATCATCCTTATTTTTATTTAGCACATTGAGGGAAAAATTATTTAAAAATTGTAATATAAATTAATATAACTAATAATATAAATTCTCTTTATTTAAATCAAATATTGTTTACCTTGATTTAAGTAAACAATATTTGGTTTAAATAAAGAGAATTTAGGTTTATATAAATAAATATGTTAATGGCATCCATCAAAGAAATATTTGTTGCTTTTAAAGTAATTTTTCCCTTAGTGCAATTAATTAAACATTACACATACTTATGTGCAGGTTCCAAGCCGAATTTCTGGAGGAGCTAAAGAATCAGGAAATTGAGGAATGGGCTGTGGCTAGAAGAAGACTACCGAGACTTCACGATTGGCTTGATTCATGGGAGAGCAAGATTCGCTTGCACGACAACATAGAAACCGATACTTTTGCCGGTAGGAAGATAAACGAAATTCGGTCTGCAATCGAATCTATTCAGCTGCTTCGGGGAGACGAGATCGCCGACGAGCACTGGACCGAGTTAATACCAATACTCGGTCTGAAAGTTGAGAATCCACGAGATATCACCTTGGGTCATTTGCTCGGTGCCAAAAAGGCATTAACGGAAAATGAGGATCGAGTAAAAGTAAGGATATACATTTTGCAGATAGTAAAAATCGTTGGAATGCTCTTAAAATTTCTAAAACTCAAAATGTTTGATCATTCAGGAAATAACAAAACGAGCGGTCGCGGAATTAGGAATTCGACAAGCGTTGATAGACCTGGAGATCTGGGAAGGAACCGCAGGACTTCCGTTGCAAGAAACGACTGACAGCAAGAATATGATTATCCAACTTGTTAGTGATTATGGCAGTCTGTTAGCGAAAACAGGTATAACAGGATCGTGTCTCTCTCTTTCTCTCTCTTTCTCTCTCTCATTATATTATTTAATAGTTATTACTTGACAAATAAGACACATTATTTTTCTATCCTCTATAATATGTTTAAGTATAAAAGACGATCAAATTGTCCACAGAGGAACTGAGACTCCTACTGGAAGGAGCGAAGGGTACATCAGGACACGATAGGTTCGCATCTAGAGTCGCACGTTGGGAAGCAGCTTTATCAGAACTCGAAGAAAGGATCAAAGTACTTAGCACTGTACAGAGGAAGTGGATCTACTTGGATCCAGTCTACGGGAGTGGAGCGGCTCCTAGCGATTCCGGACGATGGTCAAGGGCTGACAAAGAATTTAGGTTTGTAATAACAACGCTGTCATACAATTTGTAAAAATAATTAATGTAATAATAATTCATCTACTTTATTTAACTAAAAACTTATTTTTAACTTGTCTAGTTAATTCTAACTATATTAAACTTGAACGCTAATTCATATTTTCATCAATTTTTAGACATCTCATGGGAGATGTATCGCGGGATCCTAGAGTGCCATCCTTGAGGCGATTGCCGTTACCTGCTTTAATAAATTTGAAGGATCTGCTAGATAGATGTCAGAAAAGTCTGGATGAATTTCTAGAGGTAAGTTAAAATGAAAGCCTCGGCGTCATCTACTTTATTTGATGCGTTATAATGATAAAAAGTCGTAGTGAACGATATTTTTATGTTAAAATTATTTAGATGTTAATTCTTTTGTTACAAATTTCTAATATAATTTTTAAATCACAGGAAAAACGAGCGGCTTACCCAAGATTATACTTTCTTAGCGATGAGGATCTTCTCGAATTGGTATCGGCCAGTGGGAGAGGCTTAGAGGCTCATCTACCGAAGTTGTATCACGGTGTGGGTTCGGTAGTAAAGGAGAACGATACGTTGACGGCGATTGTGTCGCCCGAGGGAGAAATGTTGAAGTTACCGGAGGCCGTCGATCTCACGCAATCTTTGCCAGAATGGCTGGACAATCTCGAGAAGGGAATGCAGAAGGCTCTCCGTCATAATTTGGAGAAATGTTTGAGCAGTTCTACGCCTGATCCGTCCATTTATCCTACTCAAGTAATGCTTATTATTACATTTTACAACAAACATTGAATGACTTTAACTAACGCTTCAAAAGTGATTGACTAAAATCCGAATAACAAATTTGATTAACAAACTTTCAACGGGTTCGATGTGTTTCATTCTTATTATTGTCCTTATATTGTAATATAAATAATTTGCAGGTATTATTACTCTCAGAACGAATAAGATTTACTGAACGCTGTGAGCAAGCTTTGAAAGAGGGTCGTGCAGCCTTGCAGAAGCTGGTTGAATTTTTGGAGTCACAACGGGCGAGATACAGAGGATTGGAAGACGCTGGTGACAAGCTAACCTCATTGAAAGCACGTGGTCTTCTCTTGGATACTGTTCATCATCTGCAAGTAGCCAGAACGTTACTGAAGACCGTGATAGCCGGCGAGAATACCGGTTGGTTGTGGTACAAACAATTGAGGAGTTACAAGACAGTAAGTTACAAAACTCGGAATTACTTGAATTTTCGAGGGTTACACTTTCTATTTTCTAAAAAGTTCTTATTGAAACTAGTATTCTATCATTATGTTTATAACGATAAAAATATGTGTTGTATTTCTGTGTACACTAATGTGTACACAGAAACATAAGATTATGTAGAAATAACATGTATAATAAGAACTTTTCAAAAATTGAAGTGAATTCAAAGGTCTTACAAAATTGACGGTCCTGAGGCTAAACGCCATGACAGTTAGTCGCGTTGCTGGTCAGCAAGAACGGGAAAGCAAAAAGAAGAAACTAAATATAAACTTCGAAAATCGCCTCGAAAGTGTTCTTAATTCCTAGTACCGACATAGACTATATAAATTTATCCCGATTATTTATAATAAATTTTTATATTATATTATTTTTATGTGATTTTTTTCCCAAGAATCAAGGTGCATACGTGGTACGATGCGCCGGTGCGGAGTTACCTTACCGCTTCGAGTACCATGGAGCATCCATCGGTCTTGTGAGGACTCCCTTGACGGAGAGATGTTTCTTGGCTCTTACGCAAGCCATGAAGCTTGGGTTAGGCGGAAGTCCGACGGGTCCCGCTGGAACTGGAAAGACTGAAAGCGTCAAAGCGTTAGCATCTATCTTAGGTAGACTCGTTCTCGTCTTCAACTGCGATGAGGGTAAGAAAATTATTTTTTGATCGTTATGAGAGCGCTAAAGTAAAGAGTGCGTTGGTACAAGGATATTACAATGAATTTTACGTAGCAAGCAATTATAAATGTAAAATATAATAACAGAAATAAATATTAGAGTAGGCGGAATGTTTCAATTTTTCGAATTATATATATTCCAATTTAATTCACACTTCTTAACTTATAATTTATAAATACAAATATCGCGTTAATTAAAATTAATTTAATAACGACGAAGATTTCTTGACGAACTTAAAATAGATTCTATGATCAGTTTTATTAAATCTGAGTATATTTCTTGAAATTAAATTATCTATTTGGATCGCTATAGGAATGGACACTGGTAGTATGAAGCGTATCTTAGGCGGGTTGGCGCAGGCTGGTGCCTGGGGTTGCTTTGACGAGTTTAATCGTCTCGAGGAGGACACCCTGAGTGCGGTGTCGATGTTGGTGAGGCCTCTTCAGGAAGCGATACAGAACGGTTCGCCCGACATCCTACTGGGCGACCAGAAAATCAAGCTAGATCCTCACTGCTGCATCTTCATCACGATGAATCCAGCCGAATATGGAGGTCGACGCAAACTGCCGGATTCTTTGGCGAGGCTCTTCAGGCCAATTAATATGGCGCGTCCGGACAAATCGGACATCGTTAAAACTTTGTTGGAGTGCGCCGGATTTTTAGAAGCTAGCACTCTCGGTAAACGACTCGTGGAGGCCCTCGAGATCGCCGGAACCATGCTCTCCGAACAGCCGCACTACGACTGGGGTCTTAGATCGCTCAAATCCGTGCTTGACGCATTGCTTCCGACCGCCGACGTCGACGAGACCACCAGGTGTGTTCGCTCTCTTCGGGATAGACTACTTTTGAAAAATGTGAAATAGTTCAAGAATGTTCTATTCCGAGTTGATGAAATGGATTTCTTATTTGTTACTAGACTTCTCGTCTCGATCAAAGCGTCCACACTCCCGAAACTGACGGAGGCAGACACGATGAAATTCATGGCGCTGTTGAATGATCTCTTCCCGAACGTTAATCCGTCACTATCCGTCTCTACCGACGGCGAGGACTTGGTTAATGCATTGTGGAAGATCTGCGAGACTCGGGGGTTGACGAAAGAGATCGCCAACAGATGTATGCAATTGAACGATCTGTTGAGAAGTAGAACCGGCGTAGCTATAGTTGGTCCGTCTGGCAGCGGGAAAACGTCAATTAGGTCGTGCTTAGCCGAAGCCATGGCAAAAGTCGGTGAGCCCGTACAGCAGATCATAGTTTATCCAGGTGCGGTACCAAAGAGCAGACTGTTAGGACACGTAAATCCGCAGACGAGGTGAATGCTTTTACTTGCTAATCACTTTTACGCTCTCAGCACGTTATTATAATTAATTATTGAAATTGTATGTTCCTGTACGAATAGAGAATGGAAAGAAGGTGTTCTGTCGAGCGCGATTACGTCAGCTGGAGATTCCGCGACCTGGATTATCTTTAACGGAGACGTGGAACCTGATTGGGCGGAAGCTTTAAACTCAGCTCTGGACGATAATCGATTGTTGACATTACCAAACGGAATAGGAGTTCGGCTTGGTAGCGGCACAAGGTAGATAGCACTTAAAGTATAACTTAATTAATTAATTAATCGGATGTCTACAGCAATATAATGCATAATGGCAGAATATAAAATTAATGTTATTTTTATTAAGGATATTTACAATTATTTACAAAAAGTCTATAAAAAATCTACAATTAACGTCGTTTATATAAAGATATGTGATCAAGATTTATTTAGCTAAATGACTGATTTAATATAACATTTGTTATGTGTTAGAGTTTGGAACTTTATGAATCCCGCAGTTGCAGCATTCAACCGCTCAGCATCTGTGCTTATATGTATGTTTGTAAAACAGATTTATTTTCGAGACCCACAAGCTCGCTGATGCCAGCCCGGCTACTGTTTCACGGGTGGGTGTTCTGCATCTTGGATCGACGAGAGCGACGTTCTTGCTGGTGCCATGGCGAATAGAACAACTCTCTGCAACGGCTGCGGAAGTTGCAAACGCTCATTTATGCTCATGTATCGATGAAACACTGAAGATCAACCTCGATGAGTCATCTGCGTCTGGTCTGATGGATGCTGCGTTGTGTCATCTCAGTAAAGCTCAAACATTTACGCAAGCCACTTACGCTCTTTTGCTCTCATTATGCGGCCAAGTGAAAAATCAAGAATCCAGAGATAATTTGGCGAAATTTATCTACGGGTCGGTTGATAGCTGGTAAGAATTTAATAAAACGTTTCCGTTCTTTAGTAATTAAATCTGCAAATAAAAGTTTCTATTTATTGCAATTTAATTTTGGAATCACAGAAATTTATACATTGCATAAATTGATATCAACATTTATATATTATTTTATATTGAATCTGAATTGGAAAACTGAAGATATTTTTTTTTGAGAAAGTTGATGTAGATTTAGTTTAATTTGTCCGAGCTTTAAATATTAATTTATCGCATTTTCCTTAATAGATTAATGCGATATTACGTCAAAGTTTTTAATTGATTTGATAATTTAATTATTTCAGGTGTCCTGACCCACAAAAGCCAAGTGCCGTCTTGTACGACCGCGAAACTGATCGACTGGAACCGTTCAAAGATACATATGAATCCGTCGACAGCGATTATGGGCCTATTTCGATTTCAGGTACGATGAAAATTTTTATCATGATGCAAATGAAAACAAAGCAGAAAGTCTCATTCATGATATCTCACGTAGATTTTATCAGAAAAGCTGTAGCAGCTATTTTGCCGTGGATAGAAGAAGATTATCCGATCATGATTCGTGGACCTGAAGGTTGCGGAAAGAACATTCTAATCAACGCTGCGTTGTGGACAATTAAAAGTCACGATAACATGACTGTCGTGAGAGCATCTTCGCTTTACGGACCTGACGATCTCGTGAGTCGTCTGAAAAAAGCTTGTTTGCGCCTAGAGTCCTCCTCACAGGGTAGAACATACAAGCCAAGAAACGGAACTCGAGTGCTTCTCATCTTGGAAGACATGCATCTCGCCGCTAAAGATTTGCAGGTATAATATAGATAAGCCTTTTCCTTAATTGTTCAATCAATTGAGTCGAGCTACCTCATGAGAGTTCTTCGTGACATTAATATCTGCAATTCAATACATAAAAAATTAAGTTTAAATAATTTTTATTTTATGGATATAAAATTTCGCAAATTGATAAATTAATATGATTAAATTGCTTTCACTATTTTCAGGAATTAATAAGGGAAATGCTTCAAGAGAAAGGATTCCTCGAGGATGATCTTGAATTCTCCAAAGTGTCTTTAACGATCCTATGCACCGCCGATGAAACTACTCGATTACATCCGAGACTTGAAGCTTTATTCGCAACTTATTATCTAGAGTAAATTTTTTCAATTATAAATCAAATATGTCAAAACTTTTAGAAACACTTTTAACAAACTTTATCCACGACAGATATCCGAATCAAAAGGATATTGCAGCAATTCTCGGACTTCACTTGAGAAATTCTTTGATGGAAGTTGACACTATTACAGCGGAATCCTGGATTGCTCGAATGATGCCTAATATGTTGGATGCTTTCCGATTTGCCTGTTCCTCTCAAGAATCTTCTATGATTTGGACTCTCAAGGATATTGTCTCTTGGGCAACGCGCTTGAAGTATTATCCTACTCCCGAAAATGAGACTGATATCTCTCGTCATTTATTAGATATCGGCCGCCGGCTATTTCGCTCAGGGTATTTATTTTAATTTCCATTATCTCTATTTTTCTAATATAAAGATAATATAAAAAATAATACAAAGATCTTAATATAAATTTACCGATTGAAAAAAGAGGAGAAAAAAGGCGATCTTTTTGGCCAATGTTACTTTAAGATCGAAAATGTCTTCACGTAACATTTAATATTTGAATTATATCAATAAAAAAGATAAATGAAATCGCAAACACAGATTTAATAAATCTAAGTTAAAGTTTTGATTAAAAGTTCCTCTCTTTTGCGAAAGTAACCGTGTAATTTGATCTTCCCAGATTAACGCCCAATGCACAGACACGATGGGAGTCTATATTACTCTCAAAAGAGTCCGAAGTGAAAGATTTCGCTAACGATTTGTATGTGTGGAAGAACGTGAACGGTCTGTATCCTTTGAGCGAAGAGCAGTGGCGGGAAGAAATAATCAATACAGCAGCCAGATGCACCAGAGAAGGTCAACCGGTGCAGGCACCGATCTCTACTTACCTCTTAGAAACCGTAGCTGGTAAATAACTTAATTAAATTAATGTTTATGCTTACGAAGTTATTTTTATACTTGTGCTCTCATATGATTTCTCAGTTTTGAAATTCACGTGGATTACCTTGACACTTGCAATCGTAAAATATCTTTTTGCAGGATTGAGCTGGGCTGTGGGTTGCAATTTTCGCGGTATGATCCTCATCGGACGACCAGGAGCGGGTAGAAGGTCAGCAGTTAAACTGGCTGCGACCTTCTCTTCCCTTCGGCTGATTGACTCGGGACCTGGTACTGTAAAGTGAACTTTTAATCTACAGGAGCGCAATGAGCATATTATTGTATCGCTATATTCTCTTAGAATTCGTATATTGTGCTTATAATTGTTTCCATAGAACGTGGTAGAGCGTCAATAAAGAGCGCCGTGCAAGCCGCAGGTATCGAGAGCCAACCGACGTTGCTTCTACTGGAGGAACACCACACCAGGGAAGAGAGCTTAGCCGTGTTGGTGAGCGCTATCGTATCCAAAGGAGAAGTTCCAGGTCTCTTTGCAGCGGATGAACTCGATGCGTTAGTCGCTCCACTGACCGATCTCGCCCGAAGAGAAGATTTTCAAGGAACACCGGAACACTACTTGTATCATCGTACGTATATTTTCTCAATTATTTCTCTAAGTCTAGATGAGATGTAACGATCGATAACGTTTCGCAGGTCTGCGCAAGTATCTCCGAGTAGCGGTGATCTTAGACTCTGCGGAGATCGAGTCGTCGCGATTGTTACATTTGGATCTTCTTCGACATTGCGCGCTTCTCGGATCCGGTTCCGGTCCTAGCGAGTGGTGGTCTCGGGAGAGCTCCTTGATCAAATTGGCGATTCAAGAAGGGACTCTACAGCTGGACGAGCTCGAGGAGTTATCGGCTGGCGCGAAGGTGATGATCGGAGCTCATTTGCAAGCACCTCGTCATCAAAGAGCGCCGGCAAGATTCTTGGCTGTGGTGCACACCTGGAAGCATCTCCGCGACATGTGGAGCAAAGAAGTCGAAGGGAAGCTGCAGTCTCTCGAAGCGGGCATCGGGAAACTGAGAGAAGCCGGCGAGCAGGTGGCTAAATTGGAGGACGATGTATCCACGCAACGCCAAGAGCTCGAGGTTTGCTTAATTCCCTTTTTTCTATTTTTACTTTCAATTTGACTAAGGTATCTGTCTTTTGTTTGATTTAACAGTGAATAATTCTCAATAATTTATAATATTCTAACTGCCTTATTGTCTTCCAGGTGGAGAAAGGAAGAGCCAATGCTGCTCTTGAGCAAATCACTGCGACGATGAGAGGAGCCACTAACCAAAGAGGTGAGATGACGAACTTGAAAGCCAATACAGAACGAGAGAGCATCGAGCTCGCGCGACGTAAGGTATTGCCATTTTTCTTGTCCATTACTTGTCGTCTGTCGACATCATTACGAAGTATCAATTAGACATTAATAATTATTTAAAAATTAAAGTAATTATTTGTATTAAATAGATTAA